CCTCCTCCCTCCTCCCTCCTCCCTCCTCCCTCCTCCCTCCTCCCTCCTGTAAGGAGTAGGTTTGACTTCAGCTTAGGTTCCCATCTATCATTTCAAGCAGCCCGACAGGCTGAACCCGCAGCAGCTGCCCTTCAAGCTCATTAGGACGAGGACGATCAATCCCGAAGGCCTTCTCATCATCCCCGTTGATGCTGCCGCCGCAAGCGACTCTTGGTTCCCTGACTACCAATGTAAGCCAAGGCAGAGATACCTAAGATTTCAGACCCCACACATCTTCAGTCCTCTCGTCCCCCTCCTTCTTTCCTCCCTCCACTCCTTCCTCCCTCTCTCTTCTCTTCTTCTACTCTTCACCTCTCCCTTCTTGTGCTCTGGTTCTGTTGATGTACTTGCAGGGGATATCTTGGTGTGTTCGTCGTGCGATGGTTATCAGCACCTGGGCTGGCGTTTCACTCCCAAGCTGGCGGGAGCAGGAGAGACTTTTTACGCTCTGATAGTGGACTACAACGAGAGCAGACGACGATCAGCAGAGGCGGAGAGAGATCTGCTAGAAGGCCTCAAGGTCGAACCCCCCACATCTCCCCCACATCCTCACCTCGCCACTTCTACTCTCCCTCGTCCTTCCTGTCCAGCCTCCGGCCTTTCTCCTCTCCTCCGTCTCGTTGTCTCCTCCCGTCTCATCTACTCACTGCGTAGGTTGGCACTCGAGCTCCAGCCTGGCTCATCGCCTTGGCTACTGCAACGCTGCAGGTAGCAGGAAGGAGAGAGGAAGACCGGTTGACATGCAGCTGCAGGCTCAGATGAGGTCCAAGTGAAGTCACTTGACTTCTTCTACTCGCCCTACGAGTCTTGACGGAACCAAGAAATCCTTTCAGAAGCAGAAGCAGCAGCAGAAGAAGCAATGCAACAACAACCAGCAAGGTTTCTTCCACGTCCTTCGGCATCAATCGTTATCGAAGTGTTTGTAGCATCCAAGTGAGATACATAATGAAGTGCATATTCTCTCCTCTCCCCTTCTCCTCCCTTCCCCTCCCTTCCCCTCCTCTCCTCTCCCCTCCTCCCCTCCCTCCCCTCTCCTCTCCTCCCATTCCCTCCCCTCCCCTCTCCTCCTGTATATCACTGTCATTTGATTCATAACTTTGATTAGACTTAAGATTCTTTTCCTCTCACCGCTGACTTCTCATCCTCTGCGACGTTCTCGTCCCATTCTTCCCCGCAGCCTGCACGAGGCTGGTCGAGCTCACCGGCCGAGGCCTCCAGCGACGAGGAGGCTGCAGTGCCGTACCCGCCGACATGCGCGCGCGAGCGAGGAGGTGGCGACCGCAGGCTTCTTGCAAGACTCCCTGGGAAGCCCGGGGAGAAGACGAGCTGGGGTCCTCCTCGGGTAAGGGAACCAGCGTAACTTGGAGGCTCCTTCTCAGGTCATGGTGAGCCCCAGGCGCTCCCTTGGACATGTCCTCGCGCATGCTCATGCTCCTGTGCGAATCCAACCTGAGCTCCCAGGCTACCGGCTTCTGCCTCCTCGCTGACGCTGGTCTGACGCAATGAACCTTCTTCTCTTGCTCATGATCATACTCCTGCTGCTCCCGCTCCTGCTCCTCCTGCTCCTCCTCCTTTGTGCTATAAGGCTCAGTCTCCACGGGTCGTACTTGCTTGTCGGGGCTCGGAGTCTTTGCGACTTCCTGAGTTGAAGGAGGTTCATCCGGAGCCAGAGGCTTCGAATCAGTGCCGACCCGCTTGAGAGCCAGCATACAGTCTTGCCAGGAAGCATCGAGCGGCAGCTGTAGCATGAGAAGCAGGGACGCGCGAGCACGATCTGCTTCCTTGGCCATCTCCCTCATCCAAGAGATCTTGGGGAGGATGCTCGAGACAGAGTCGACCCCAAGGAGAGCTTGGACCTGCATCAGCAGCTCTCTGCAGACCTTCTCTTCCTCTTTCTCCTCCTCCTCCTCACCCTCCAGAAATGTACGCGCCAGACAGCAACGCTCGTACGCTACCAAGTCTCTCACTTCCTCCACCACCTCCTTGCCCTGAGAGCCGAGCACGTGAGCATCGCCATGCTTCTTGCCGGCTTTGATGGCGTTGAGGGCCAAGGGGCTGACGCGCTGTGAAAGCACAGCTTCGATCTCAGCAAGCACAGCGATCGCCTCCGCTTCTTCCTCCTTCCCGACCAGCTTCTGGTCCTCCTCCTTCCTCCTGAGATTTTCCTGTTCCTGTGTCTGCTCCTCCTGAAATTTCCGAGCATCGAGCGTGATCTTTGTACCATATTTTCTCTCAGCCAGCAACGTCAACATCAAGTCCCAGTCTTCGCTCTTCACTTCACCGCAAGAAACTCGTTCCTCCATGGGCAGCTCCATGAAGACTTCATGGATTCTTCCCGCCATAACCTCCATCTCCGCCGCCTTCTTCTTCAGATCTCGGATGGTGGGGATGAAATTGCTGTGGTCCTGCGTGCCGAGGAGAAGGCCGAGGTCCTTGAACACATTGAGGTCGCTCTTCAGCCTGTGCTTGATTTGCGCCATCTCCTTCTCCATGCTCCACATCGCCCTCTCCAACGAGTCAACATACTCCGGCTTCGGCGTTTCCTCGTGCTGGGCTTCCATCATCTTCAACCTCTCCTGCAGCTGCTCGTAGGACGCGAGGATCGACTCCTTGCGCGAGTTCGCCACCTGAGCTTCACTTTCCTTCTGCCTGATCTTGTCCGACAACTCCTCCATCACCCGCTGGCTCTTGATCAGCTCCTCTCGCAGCCGCCCGAAGTTTACAGCCTCCTGGTCCCTGCCCCTCAAGGGCACAGTCATCGCATTCTCCATGTCTCGAAGCCTCGCCATCACTGACTTGTTCTCTTCTTCCAGCCTGCCCTTGTCTCTCTCCAGCGCATGGTTCATCTCCGCCAGCTCATGGATCAGTGAGGCTGTCCGCGGGTCTAGTCCAGCAGTCGCCTTCTCTTTCCCCCCCAGCTTCATCTGAGTTGCCCGGACCACTTTGAGAGCAGTCTCCTTCCGTCTATCGTTCTCTTTGAGCATGATACGCAGCCTCTCCTGACACTGCTCCAGCATCTGCTCCTTCTCATGCAGGATGTGCATGAGCTTCGCTTCCTTCCTCCTCATCTCATCGATCCTCAGCAACAGCTCGTCCTCCCGCGCTTGCTGCCCCTGGTCAGGTTGCGTGCAGCTCCAGTCGATCTGGCACTGGTTGAACGCCTTGCGGTGGTGGCTGTCAGGAGAAGATTTCTTCGACCTCTCGGAGTCATGGAGGAGGAAGAGGTTGGATGAGTCTGTGAGAGGAGAGAAACGAGAGTCAGCGAAGCTCTCGGGAGAATTCTCACCAACACCCTCCTGCCCCTGTTTGTGCTTCAACGGAGACTTGTCCCCAGTCAAGAAGTCCTCTACCAGAACTCCTCGCTTCTTGTACTGAACAATCACTTCTTCCAGCTTCATCAGCAGCTGCGCCATGAAATCCTCAGTCACGCTCATGGTGGCTGATCTGTCCTGCACGTCCGAGCTCAGCCCCTTGTCCTCCACGTTCATCGGGAACCCCTCGAATCCGCATGCTCTCAGATGCGCCTGAACATGCTGAGCCTTCTCGACAACCTCCTCACGTCTGGTCGGCGCGTCTTCCTTCCTTGGCGAGTGGCTGCATGATGATCGGGGTCTAGGCCGGAAGCTGAAGTCAGGGACCAGCACTGACGCGCTTCCTTGGTGCATGGAGGGAGACGCCGACTTGTCGGTGACTGCCTCGTCTTGCGCTTCCTGAGCGCCACCATCAAGCTCCATGAGCCTCTGCGCGACGTTGGAACCAGAGGACGCGACAGTCGCGTAAGAGTTGGAGGAGTTGTTCGACTCCCCGTCGTATCCCTCCTGCCTCTCGTCCCCTCCCGGTGTGCTCATGCCTTAACCTCGACCTGTCAGACAGCTGCTGGGCAAGTGCGTAGGGCTTGTGAGCTCGTGGCTTCTGCTGAATCGTCTTGTAAGTTCTGACGATGCTCAACGCTTCTGAGCCATGTTGGATCTGTGACAGCTAGAGTTTGAATCAATCTCCTTCTCTCTCGTCCTCTCGTTCTCTCGCTCTGTCTCCCCACCCTCCCTCTACCTCATTTCATCGTCTCTCCTCCTTCCATCCACTTCTCTCCTCCTCTCCACCTCTCCCGCCCCTCTCGCCCCGCCATTCACTGCCCGCCTTTTCCGCCCCAGCGAGTCCGCCTCATTAGCTGCTCATCAGGAAGGCAGATTTCCTCTGTCCTGAGTGGTTGGCAGCTGTTGAGATGATAACATCGGATCCTTGGAAACGAGGCTGAAGAACAACACCGGTGTATCCAACCTGACAGCAGCAATCAGGAATCATACCAAGCTACTCACTGCGATGCAGAAAGATGTGACGGAGATGAGAGTGCAACAGGAGAGGAATACGACAAACATCGGAGGGAGGAGGGAGGAGAGAGGAGGGAGGAGAGAGGAGGGAGAGGAGAGGGGAGAGACAGCAGAGAGCAGAGAGCAGAGAGCAGAGAGCAGAGAGAGGAGAGAGGAGCAAGGAGCGAGGAGCGAGGAAGGAAGAGGGAGGAGGGAGGAGCGAGAGAGGAGGAGGAGGGAGGAGCCGGGAGCCAGGAGCCAGGAGCTGCTCTGGAGCCTTGCGTTAAGATGTCAGCCAGGTGAAGGACGGGGAATTTATTGTCAAGCGACAAGAGAGGGGGAAGACGAGCAGAGCTTGGAATCAGAGACTTGCGATCATGTTCGGACTCCTCGAGCAAGCGTGTGACTGGTGCCGCATGCAACCTGCTGGACCTGGGGAGGCATCAGACAGTCGTGGGAGGAAGGGGAAGACAAAGTTCTCACGCGAATTCTCTCTTGAGCAAGGAAGGTCACCTGAAGAGGAACGCTTCTGTACACAGCTGGGCTCTCGACAATGTCTCCCCGTCCCAGCTGCCCCTCACGTCCTCTTCCCATCACAAACACTTCTCCTGACTCGAGAACCTGAGAGGAGATGAGCATCAGTTGCTCCTTCAATCCCCTGTCAATTACCGCGACGGTATGGTCGCATCCACAAGCTACCGACTGCACCCGAAGGTTCTGCAGCTCCCGCACAAGGACAGGGAGAGAGACGTCCACTGTGTTGCCGTTGCCGAGCTGGGGCAGCGACACTTACGCTAAGAGAAATCTCCAGCAGAAGCCCAACAAGCTCACCTGGCCGGATCTTCCGTAACCCCACGTGTACAGTTTGCCGTCAGACGTGACGGCAGCGGCGTGATAGTCTCCTGTGCATGGAAGTTGAGACGAGCAGGTGCAGGCTGAGAGGAGGACAGGAGTCAACCGGCTGCTATGCTCCTCACGTTCTTTCCTGCCAGCACCGCAACCTCCTTCGGCGTCATGGCGTACCTTCCAAGAGCGTAAGTCCAGCAGCAGCAGCAGAGCAGGAGCAGGGGGTCACCGTGCGAACTGCCCCAATCCCAGCTGTCCGTAGTCGTCCGAGCCGAATGTGAAAACCTGCCCGCTCTCCGTCGCGATCACCGAGAAGTCCTTCCCGCATTCTGCCGCCTTCACCCGCCCCGACCCCTCAGGCATCTGAACTTCAACCGGTGAGAGCACGCTCTCTTGGCTGCCCGTTCCCAGCTGACCCTCCTTGCCCCTGTCAGGAGCTGAGAAGTTGCGGGCCGACAAGAGACGCAGACTTCACCTTCCTGTCGCGTACAGGCGCCCGTCCTCGGTGATGAAGAGAGAGTGAGAGCCCCCGCAGGATAATGCTTTCACTGGCATGGGGAAAGAGAGAGGCTAGACAAGGAAGTTGACACAGGTCGGAAGGGATCAGCAGAGAAGAAATTAGAGAGAGTGAGAGAGAGAGAGAGAGAGACCAGGAGACAGACAGACAGACAGACAGACAGACAGACAGACAGACAGACAGACAGACAGACAGACAGACAGACACAGAGAAAAAGAGACAGTCGCGCAGGTTTCAGGCGAAACACGAAAGGACCAAACAGCAGGTAGACCCAGCAAAGAAGAGGGAGGGCAGGCAAGTAAGAAGGTGATAGTCAGGACAGCATGGAGTTGAGCAATTTCAGAGTACCTGCGGAGTGAAGTGACTCTTGTTGGTTCCCAGCCCCAGCTGGCCGGAGAACCCTCTTCCCCACACAAAAACGTCTCCTCCTCCCACGATCGCAGCAGCATGACGATGCCCAGCGGATACACAAGTCACACCTGCAACCCAGCGTCATACGCTCACGAGCCTTCTACCATCAAGCTCGATAAGCAGATCGCGGAGAGAGAAAACGAAGCGAAGACGAATACTGAGGAGAGAGAGAAGGAGGGTAAAAGTAGGTTCAAGTACGAGCATACGAGAAGGGGAGGAGGAGAAAGGATTTGAGCAAGAGAACAAACTCACCTTCAAGATTCACTTTTTGAGGATAAAGAACGTCAAGAGTCTCCCCAAGCCCCAATCTGTGAAAGGCGAATAGCATCATGCCTTTCCTTTTGTCTGGCATCCTTCCTCCCTCCCTTCCCCTCCTGTACCAACTTGCCTGCCATCCTGTCCTTTTCCCCAGGTGTAAAGAGCTGGGCAGTACGCCATCATTCATATTTCGAACAAGGAAATTCACTCACAGTCCCCAGCAATACATGCGCTCCAAGAATCGCCGCAATCGACCTGAGTGACATCCTGAAAGAGACAACAACAAAGTCATATCCTCTGAATGAAATTAACGAAGTGAAATATTTGAGAGCATCTATACTGCTTTCATTGTTGCCATCACTCTTTCTACCATGAGCATCTTGAATAATGATTTCAACAGACTCATAACAAACCAGCTCTTCGCCTTAATGCCCATCATCTGCATTACCTTTGGAAGAGTTTCCACATGCTTCGGTGTTGCTGAGTTTCTCGTCTCTCCGATCCCCAACGCACCTAACGAGTATGTCACTTCGAAACATCCTCATCCTCATCATCCTCATCGTCTTCGCCCTCGCCCTCTCCCTCTCCCTCTCCCTCTCCTTGCTCCCAAATCCGTGACTCACTGCTCACCTGACAGCCCTCCTCCCCAGCACAGCACCAGATGAGACAGGGGACGATGCTGCTGTGAGCATAACTTAGCACATGATGCTAGAAAACTGCGAGCAAAAGACGTAGAGCACCAGAACAAATATAGGAATGGTAGACGTAGCAGAACGGAAGGAGAAGAAGCAAGGAGGAGGCAGTATCGAGGAGGACGGGCGGGCAGAGAAATGAGGCAACCTCTTTCGAATCTCGTCCCAATGCATCTTCCGCTGCCTTGTGCTCCGCTAACGCCACACCTGCTGCTCGACCACTCAAATGCAATGAGACACAGCTGAGATAACTCACCTCCCATCGAGCAGAAAACTGCTGATGCGGACACGCCCAACAAAACTCTATGATAACTTCCAGATGTTTGTTGTGTGTACAACATAACTCGCTTCCGAAATATTTGGCCCAGCTGAAAACAAAAGGTAGTAGACATCATGTCAGCAAATGTGTCGTGCGAACAATGAAACAAAAAAAAGATGAACAGCAGGTGCATTCATTCTATTCGGTTTGTGGCATGATACGAGCCATGGCACAAACTCGAAATTCGACATTACTCTTGCAATCTATTACACAAATATTTGCATCACTGAAAGAATCTTTCCATCTAGTAACGACCACAATATGAATGCATTTCTACTACAGAATCTGAGACCATTTCTGACTTCATTCTGGCCTTGTTTTCTTTCAATCCTGTCCCTGTGGTTTGCTGCACACATCTTCGTACTTTAAGCGCCAACAAAAGACATGCACGGCACTGCACGATGGTACTAAGAAACCTCTCGGCCTAATTTCAAGTTCACTCATTGATCATGCCCTCTCCCTGCCTGACTCCTTCTGTCTCTTTGTAACCCACTGTTCATTCTTGCGATGCTCCCTCGTCTTCTGCTCTCAGATGACTTTCTCCTTCGCCGCTCTGCTATCCTGAGCTTGTTTCCACTGATTTAATCTTTCTACTGGATCTGCGTCCTAACTCCTCCTCCTCCTCCTCTCTTCCCCATTTCCTTACCTGCCTGAACCCGATGCCGCTCCACGGCATGACGCACGAAAAATTAAGGCAGAAGATCATCCTATTAGTCTTTTAGGACTACGGATTGCTGTCCTGTAAAGGGAATTAAACACAAACTCTGAGGCAAGCCCGATCTTACTGCCCGGGGGACCGGGACGCCGGGCCGGGACGCCGGGCTCAGGCGAAGCCTCAGTGATTCAGTGCCAGTGAAGGCTCGGAGGCGGGGCCGGACCTACCGCATAATTCAATTTGAGTAAAGATTCAATCTAGTGGCCCGATTCATCTGCTATCCCTCCCGCTGCCCATGCCGCTGCCATGATCCGCTCAGCCCCCGTCAACTGAGTGATTCAGCCAGCCACAGCCGCGAAGAAGACTGAGCCGCTTGAGAGTGAGGGGACGTACTAACTAGCTTGTGCAACGATGAAAGCTTCACTCTTCATGGCTCGATCCTCGAGGATGCTGCGCCTGGCGTGGGAGAAAAGTTCTACAAATGATCTGCACCTTTCTTGAACCGTGGCAGCGAGAATCCGGTCGTCACCCTGACGTTTCAGAGTCATCGGGTTACCAACACAGTCACTCACATCAGCGTAGAATAGACAATGAAGAGCTCGGGAGTCCCTCCTGCATCATGGAAGATGATTCCAACCCCCCGAGGAAACAACAAACCCATCCGCCGTCCCATGACCTCCCCTAGTAAGGATGGGCCCAGGTTTGATTTTGCACATCATTACAACTGAGAATGATGGAGAGGAACGTGTAGGAAGTCAATCCTTACCGAAGTCAATGAGGGGACGGGCATAGAAAAGGCCCAGATTCAGCCCCAGGAATTTCAAGGCATTTCGGGGTGCGTGCGTGAAACCATATAGGTCAACAGCAGATTCTGACTGCATGTGTAGCCAACTTCGATTCGATCTCGAGCATCGGCCAGGCGATCAGTACAAGCCCGGGATGATTCAGATCTTTGCACAGAACTGGTGCATTATCACAGAACTCTCTCGGCTCAGATGTGACAACCTTGCAGGTGGACCAAACGAGAGTATCGTGCCGTCTATGGCGATGCTGACGCCATTCGGATAGTGAGAAAACCGTTGAGATTCGTGTAAGCGGCATGACTTGCTTTAATATTCATGCTTGTGGCGCGAAGTCTGAATTACTGTTAGGTACCAGCTCCTTACCAAAGCGCTGTCCGGGGAAAGCAAATCAGCGTCTGTGAGGTAATTTACGACAACATCCAAGAGTTCAGCTCTGACTCGGCATCAAGCTGCTCTCTGGTTGGCAACACTGGCATCGACCTGGCGCTCCTTGTCTCTGTGATCGTACGGAGCGAGTTCGATGAGAGCACCTATGACTTCAAACTCCCCGACGTGTGAACCAAACGTGTTTGATCAAGGAGCGCAAGAACTCACTGGGCGGGTGTAGGTGACGACAGTAGCGGACGGAAGTCGTTTGCAGGACATGATTCTTGACTTGAGGTGAGCGACTTGCTGGTGAGAGGAGCTGACTTGCGCCTTAGACAAGACCACATGAGAGTCACCGAAAGGGCGTCAGCTCTAGAGGCCATCAACGCCGAGCTGACAGAGAGGTCGATCCTCTGAAGGAATTGATGTCGGCGCTTGACTTCAGCGCGCAGGAACACGTCTCTCGAAGCTCGCGTCCTCCAGCTCGAACGGCAGGTATCAATTCTACTGGGCGACCATGAGCAGCATATGCTCAACTTGCAGAACGGGTGAGTGAAGCTCGAGCGTTGTTGTCCAGCCTGACGAGTGTTGGCACCTCTCAGCTTCAAAGCGACAAACGAGCCGGTGCTTGCTCTACACCCGCATGGCCTCTTCTTGTGCTGATCATGGCTAAGGTCTACGGCCCTGTGTTCGCCAGGCGTGAAGGACGTCGCTGCCTCTTCAACGGGCTAGTCACAGGAAGTTCACCAAGAGGAGACCATGAGGGAGCTTTGATGCTCACACTGCCCGACAGCTTGTGAGCACAAGACATCTCGATCGAGACGCTCTTGACAAGCCATGCCTCAGGTGGCCTCCCTACCGCTTGATTTTCAACGGAAGCTATTGCACGGCAGAGGTCGTTACACACATTCCTCCTCCTAGCACACCCCTCGTTCCTTTCTCTGTAGATCATTGTTGTTCTGGAAGCCATCTCCTCCTCTCTGTGCTCACTCTCATTCAGGGTCACTTCTGTCAGTACTCGATCCACGTCTGCCGGAACGGACAGGTCGGGGCTGGCCGGCAGAGGATGTTTGATCTCACTGCCGCTGCAGGTCAGGGCCCTCACATACGGAAAGATCATGTCGATGAACCTCAACGCCATCGACTTCTGGATAGATTAATATGAACTAAATGCTGTAAGAATTGTTGATCCTGCTCTCTTCACGCCAATTTCCCTGGGCACTGTCAACAAAGCGCTGTAAAGCAGATTCTCTTTTTATAATACTCCAGGTCTTGAACCCACCCAAGTGGCAATTTACATCATTCATGGGGAGCTTACATGCCTTCACAAGAATCCTTTGGTGTGGAAGTGCGCTCTCTCGTGCGCGAGGTCATTCAGCAAGAGTAGGATCGTGATGAGGACAAATGGGAAAGGAGGGCAAAGATGCATGAATGAGACGAGTGGCACACTTGGAAGACCTGAAGAAGCACCTCGAGACCATCGATTATCTCGTCAGGACTGACATCGACATCAAGCGGTGCAAGGAGAGGCTCGCAGGCCGTGGTGCTGAATCTCTCTTCCATGATCTCCTGGCTGGACAAGTACGACATCAACACCGAGGAGCTCGATAAGCTGGACGAGATCATGGACAGCAGCGCCGTCAGGCAGTCAGTGGAGGACTTATTTGTTCGGCTGCATCTTGAAACCGAGGGCCCGAAGGACATGGGATTCGTCGTCCAGAGTGCGGAGAAGGCGCTGAAGATCAGGGAGCGCTGCAAGACGCTGCTGGAGATGGACCCCTCCTGCGATGGTGATGTCTCCCACGCCATCTCCGCCATCGATGAGATCCACGGGCTTGCGCATGGTATGCTGTCGGGCACGGTATCCGGGAAGTCGCTCTCCCGGCTGGATGCCGTCGAGCTCCTCCTCTCCGACAACATGGCGAAATCCACCCTCCCCAAGCAGCTCAAGGAGTGGGGCGAGATCCGGAGGTCCACCTGTGAGTCTGTCTTCAAGACCTACGTCGCCAACTACACCAACCTGTACCAGCTCTTCGACGCCTACCGCTGCAACGCCAGCGTTCTGAGCGGCACCCCCAGCGGGCAGGACCTCAAGCCGCTGCTGTTGGTGTACGACGATGCCGCCTACGAGCAGTCCAAGTTCATCGCCTCCGAGGCGGACGACCTGTATCACCTCATGGAGGACACCCTGCAGAGGATCCAGGCCCACAGGGCATCCACGGATTGGAGGGACTTGGTCGACGATAAGGAGCTCCTTAAACATAAAGAGATGAAAAAAAAATTTTATCCTCCGTAAACCACCCCACCCCAAGCAAGCTCTCCAAGCTTATCGTCAGGTTCTTTTCTCTTACGTCAAACTATGGCAGTAACTGAGATATGAAAAGCCTGGGAAGAAGATTGGACCCAACAAAAAAGACATCAAAGTGGTTGTGGCTGATTGCGATCCTGTAGATTCATCTCGACCACGTCAGAGTGCAGACTGAACGGAAACCTCCTTGCTGCAGGATAGTCAGACAGACTTGAACGACCTGTATCCAAGAATTCTTTCTCGTGAGTTTGAATATGTTGAAGAGGATGATTCAGCTTGCATGGTTCGATTCATTTGTTTTGGCAGTCGGCGCATCATGGCGGTGTCAGCGCTAGAGGTGACGTTGCTGACATTTCGTGTTGCCTCTCACTGAAAAGAGGCTCGCGACATTCTAGATCAATCAAAGGTTGTTGTGAAATAAGGGGAGGAGTAGCGAAATGAGGAGAATTCGCTCAGGGGAGTGAAATCTACCTGCGATCTGCTGAGACGAAGTTAGTGATATCAACTCGATCATGCAGAACGGAATTGAATTCTTTTCTTTTTGCTTTCTTTTTTTTCGTTTTCGTTTTCGTTTTCGTTTTCGTTTTCGTTTTCGTTTTCGTTTTCGTTTTCGACTTATTCGCTTGCTTGCTCCTTGTTTTATTTCTGCATGTGATGCCGATGCCAATGTAGATTGTCTGGCACTTCTTTTCGGTCTCGTGATCTCACAGCAAGGTTTTTATAGGAGCACGTCAACTTTCCCAATTCCTTGTTGCTTGGTTGGATCACGAGCGATGGAAAGGATGGAAAGGTGATAATGAACCCATCAGGTCTGCAAGGCATGGCAAGTTTGTCTCCGCATCTCATCGCTTTTCCCTGTAGGAAAAACAATTTTGCCGCAAAAAGCAAGCTGGTGATCTTATCCAAGTACATTAATTTTGATAGTGATATTGAACCTTGGTCTGATCTGATGAGTTGTGCAAACAGAAACTCAGAAATCACTTGTTGCCTTCGGATCGTTGCCGTGTCAACTGTGGCTCCATTGAAATGCACAGCTCCCGACAGGCTGCCACCAGCTGTCTCCCCAGCCACGGCGTTGAGAAGCGTCGTCTTGCCGGCTCCGCTTGATCCCATGATGGCGGTGAACTTACCAGGCTCAAAGACTCCAGTGACACTGGAGAAGATGGTCTTCGTGGGAGGAGAAGAGCATGGCCTGACAGGCACGTTCGCATCGGGGACCTCCAAAGGAGACCTCGACCGGGAAACAGTCGTCGCCGACAAATGGTGGAGAAGACTAGCTCGATGCTTCAGACTGCTCACTCTCTTTATCACTGACTCTGATTGGATCTCATCAGAATTCTCTCCGGGAGGTGTTGAAGATGTTGCCTTGGGTTCATCGTTCCCTGAGGTGATGCCACCACTCAAACGCGTATCATCATGCTCAACAACCGAACTTCCATCGGAGATGATTCCTTTGTGAAGGAATGCACTTGAGGGCCGGGAAGGTAGATGGTCGTTCATGGTGACGAGACACTCCTCTCCTCTCCTGTCTGTCGGACTGTCTGACTGTCTATCTGCTCTGTCTGCTCTGCTTGGACAAGGGGAGATGGCGGCTCTTCTGCGTTTTCATGGCGCCAGAGGGAAGCAACTCCTCTTGTTTCTGCCTTGGAGCCTTGACTCTGATCCTACCCCCGTCTTGCATCCATTGCCGCCATCTCTACTAGTGCTGATCCTTTTCCCCTCTTCTCAACATTCGAGAAGAGCTTCGTCAGAAATTGCTTGCGCTCGTGGATCATTACCACATCATCTTTGAGAGATCATGGCATCGGATTCAGTGTTACAACAGCCTCAGTACCTGATGGATTGTCTGCAAGTTGAGTTTCCTAGGCTCGAGAGGAGACAGCTGAAGAAAAAAGAAGACTGAGAGAGGGGAGTACAGACAGACAGACAGACAGACAGACAGACAGACAGACAGACAGACAGACAGACAGACAGACAGACAGACAGACAGACAGACAGAGTAGACCCTGCTAATTTTTATGAGCGATGCTCCCAAGAAGCATGGGTGCTCACTCCGATCGGCCAATAGGGTACAAGGAAAGACTACCCTTGGCATCTTTCCTGCTGTGCTTCAAGGCCTGTAGATTCTCCGAAGCCCCGTGATCGTCCATCCTGCGTCATGTCAGCGAAGTCATTGGTCGGGCCCTCTCTCATCGCTACGAGGTTCTACCCCGGGCTCGGAGTCCGATCTACTACTTTCTCTCTAAGAAGTTCATGTAACCGCACTGGTTTTCATCGTCCATGTGCGCTACCGGCGACCTTTGCTAGCAAGAAAGAGGGTAGTTAGTGCGGATTAAGTTGGCGAGGCCCGGCGATGGCTCGGTGACTCCTCCCGCGGCTCTCGAGTTCCACCGGTAACATCAGCAACCTCCTCAGGCAGCACTCCCTTCCTCCTCCTCAGGCAGCACTCCCTTCACGGCACGAGTTCCAGTCCGACGCTCAAGCAGCTCGATCAGAGGGAGCAAGTCGGTGTGAAAGGAAGGGTTGAAAACTTCAGACGACAACTCATCTCTCGGACAGCAAGATCGACGAAGAATCCGATCTTCAGTGCTACTCGCAGCGGTCGTGCGTAGTGCCAGTAGTGCGCTCCAGGGCACAACAATTGTGAACCTCTTTTACTGAAAAGTGGGAAGCAAAAGATAGTAGCAAACCCGGCACCAACTTAGTGCTCGTTTTGTGACAAGTGTGTGATGTTTCGTTTTCGTCCATCAAATTGCGAGACTTTGCAGCATTCTTGTTGATCTCAGTCAACTTCTTCTGATGAGAACACCACTGTTGGATCCGCGCCAGGTTGCTCCTCCTTGTCAGCTGTGGCGGGGCCAAGAGTGGCCATGATGCTCCTTCGAGATGCGCATTGTGAGTGTTTGAAAAGGATGACAGGGGTAGGAGTCAACTCAACTCACATGAAGCCAAAGTTGGCGAATATCCACGAGAAAAGGATAGTGAAGCACAAGAAGGTGCCAAACACAGAGAAGAAAACTGAAACAAGTAAGAAGGCAGGAGGAGGAGAAGCAAACAAGTTGGCGGCAACTGACCGACTTGGCATTGGAACAAAGGGATAGAAGCCATGACTGACGTGACCATGCCTGCACGAGTTTCTGGGATCAGCAGCATGTGGAGCATGAGGAGTGAGGAACAAGACATGGAGGTACCGCTGAAGACAGGAGATCCCATCTCTGTAAAGGCTTTGCGGAGTCGTTCTTCTCTCGTTCCGCAGCATGTTGCGTATGAGTGCGCCAAGTGAACGACGTAGTCCACGCTGAAGCCTGCAAGGATGGAGAACAAGATCGCCTCGATGGTCCCGAGCTCCCATCCCATCATCGTCGTAAGGCCGATCACGGAGAGCATGGTCGCGAGGATGGACAGAGAGGAAAAGAAGGAGATGAGAAGGGACCGCGTGGCCAGAAGAAGCACGCCAAAGGCTATTGCAATCCCGATACCCGCTCCTTGGATGGCCGAGGTGCGATAGATCTTCTGGTTGTTCATCAAGATGAACCTCTTGTCCATATCCGTCATCGTCACCTCCCCGCACTCTGCCTCGGCTATCTTGTTGAACTCGTCGCCGAGCCGGCTGAATTGGTCGTAGTAGGAGCGAGTGAAGCTCTCTGACGGATTGCTCCATTGGTCGAGATGTTTAGCCTCCACAGAGATGGCTATAAACCTCAGCTGCCTCCCATCAAAGCCAATCTGGTCAGCTCCCAGCTCGTTGTAGTAGTCCAGCATGAGCTGGTTGCTGGTTGACTGCCTCGTCGACATTGACAAGAACTGCTGCATCTTTTTGTCCACCTGCTCGGTGTCAACCCATCCCTGTGAGTTTCCCCAGCTCTCCTTGTCCACTGCCTCCTTCCACTCAGAGAGGAAGCAGCGATGTGACAGAGTCGCATCGTCTTTGAGCTTGATCAGCTCGTTCAGGTCTTGCGAACTGTAGATGTGAAGGCAGACTTCGAAGATCTTCTGCTGGCATGCAGGAGAAAATTTCCAGGAGGAATTGAACGTTGCCTCTCCGAGGAACTTGTCATCCAACAGCTGGTTCACTCCCTTCCTGCTGAGGTCCTCCAGGCCCCACACGTAGAACACGTCAAGCCCGCGGTCTTGCGAGGAGGTGGGAAACTGGTCGGCGAGAATGGAGAGTGAACGCTGCAGGGGATGACTGTCCTTCAAGAACTGCTCAGTCCTGGTCGTGGGCTTCAACTTGGTCGTGTAGATAAGCGCAGGGATCAACCATCCGATGAGGACAATGGCAATCCCTATCCTCGACCTGTAGTCCAAGATGAAGTTGGAGAAGGTAGTGGAGAAGAAGACAGTGATCTTGTCCTCTGCTTCAGATTCTCTCCCGTCCTCGTGGCTGTTTTGAAGAGCAAGTTCGGTCGAGCGTGGTCTGATTCTTGAACAATCTTTCACGCAGCATCCACAACATCCTGCCAACCGGCACAACGGCGGCTTTTCGAAATAATCGTGATAGACGACTACAGCCGTACAAAATCTGCAAGGAAAATGTGAGAAGAGCACACACCAGCTGAAGCTCAGCAGGTGAACAAAACCTACATGCTCATCACATAGAGATAATCAGCAAGGATGACAAGAGCCGCAAAAATGCCAAAACTTTGAGTGCCGGCGATGGGGGAGGAGAGGCAACAGAGGAATGCAGCGCAAGTCGTAGCAGAGGTGAGGAACATGGAGAGTCCTGACTTCCTGTAGACCCAGCTCATCCTCGTGGCCAAGTCCTTGTTGACATGCTTCCCCTTGACCTTGGACTGGTTGTACGCGTCCATGAACACGAAGATGTCGTCGGCTCCGATCGCGCACACAATGAAGATGCACAGCATGTTCAGCCCGCCGAAATATTTGATTTGGAAGATGAATCGCACAAAGAACCAGGCGGTCGGGAGGCTGAGGATGATCTCGATCATGCCGATCATTGCGAGGAAGCCCGAGCCGGTCATGTACCAGACGTAGAAAAAGACCATGAGGAGGCTCATCAAGGCGTTCATTGCGTCGGCGGCAAGGATCCGTGTGAAGACATCGAAGATCAATGCGGACATGAAGTAGAACAAATTTACATGATTACTGTAGCTCGAGCTTGCTGCCTTGTTGATTTCGTTGAGATGATTGTCTACGATCCATTTCTTCAACTCTGGCAAGTTAGTTGTCATTCTCTCAACAGTCATCTCGCTTACAGACCTTGATCCTGTTTGTCTTTTTGCTCTCCGTCCACGAGCGTGTAGCCCTTCAGTGGTCCCCCCCATTGGTACAAGGAGCGTGAGTACATGCTGATCGGATTCTCTGAAGTAAAGCCTCCATCAAAGTAGAAGTCGATGTAAGGTAGTCTCGTAGGAAACTGTCGTAGAAGAGCACAGAACTGTGCAATCTCTCTGGAAAGCAAATCATGTCAGTCAAGTCAGGGAACTTCAAAGACGCATTCAACTCACTTTGCATCTCCAGCCACTTCCGTGTTCTTCCCATTCCACCATTTCATGATGCCCGTGATGTCGTCAGAGAGTTTCTGTGCCTCCGCATAGTCCGCTACTGACACACCTTTGCGAGCCGTCTCACAGTTACTGTAGAACTCAAGGCATGGAGCTACAAGACAATGAGTCAGTGAACAGGACAAGACATGAATGTCATCACCAAGCTTCTTGTACAACTCGGCCAGTCCTGGTTGTTTGAGACGGTCAGTGACGGATTTCACAAGCGCTGAATCCCATTCTTCCGCAAAGAAAATGAGAGTCGCCGACAAGGGACGTGCACATTCTGTCTGCTCATACATCGTGGCGTTACCGTAACTTCTCAAGCAGTAATCTTTGTAACGGGGATCTTTCATGATCTCTGTCTCTGCCTTGTGGATGTCCATCATTGCATCTCTTGTGAAGATGCCTTGATCTGTCTTGGCTTCATATATCCAGTAGAAGATGCCGACTGACTCAGATTGGGTCTTTAGAGGCGTCTTCTCAACTTCAACCATGACTTTGCTTCTATCCGCTGAAACTGCTTCTGATGCGAGTCGCAATGTATCATACTTGATCGATCTGACGTCATTCAACACATATTGTGCTTGATCGTCAGTGAATGGATTCTCGCTGAAAGCAGCAAGAGGGATGATAGACACGGCAAGGGCAATCATGATCGCGAGGAAGAGAGAAATGCAAGGACACCTGACAACGTAATTCAGAAATACAAGTCGCCCTTCATCATCTCTGAACAAGTTCTTTCTTGCAGGTTGTACAGACAATGAAAATAAGCTTTCCATGTTTCCTGCAAGAGTGTATATCATCAATCCAGCAGATTGTCCATCCCTCTCCTGCTTTGCTCTGCTCTTCCCTCCCTCCCTCCCTCCCTCCCTTCCTCCCTCCCTCCCCCTGCCCCCCTCCCTCCCTCCCTCCCTCCCTCCCTCTCCTCCCTCCCTCCCTCTCCTCCCTCCCTCCCTCCCGCCCTCCCTGCAGGGTTGTACATCCGCTCCTCTGCCTTTTTCCGGTCCCTTCCTTCCCTTTTGAAGTGATTGCGGTAGTAATGACTACCCCCGCCTGCAGTGAGCCCTGAGGTGGGTGGTGCCACCGATCGGTAACTCCGAATAATGTTTTAAAGCGCAATCCCGAGCCCAGAGGAAGAGGCCCTTGAGTGGCGATGAGTAATAAACAGTACGGCAATACACATCTTGTTTCCGATAGCAACGCGTAACATTACACTATGTTGTGATCTCCTCCCTCCTAGTACCGCCGTTACTATCACAGCGAGCAGCAGTGACCTACAGCTGGTCGCTTTAAAACATTATTCGGCGTTGCCGATCTGCCGATCAGCCCTCTGTGACCTGCTGTAGGTCCGAGATCGTACAGGATACGCGGAAGAATGTGAATGCATGGAGCTTTCCACCAAAAACTCGTGTCAGTTTTCTTTATTAAGTTACGGCCTCGTGTTCTTTATTAAGTTACGGTCTCGTGTTCTTTATTAAGTTACGGTCTCGTGTTCTTTATTAAGTTACGGTCGCACCTGTTTTTTTTAGCAAGGACTTGGACTGACGGTGGACCGTACGGTCATGAGTGACTTGGACGTTCAGGTCAGCCATCATTGTGGATCACTGCGATATTACGCCTATTCGGTTTAGTAGCGGTTGAAAATATACGGTCCGTAGTGGTTCGACGGTTGCGACGCTCGCGATGTTATCTGTTTTGACGATGTTGAAATTAACCAAGTCTGTTGTATACACAACACAGAGATTGTCAACGACACGAGTAAAGTAAGGATGGAGAAGATAGAGAAGCAGAAGATAGAAGTCTCTAAGTTTACTGGGAGGTAAACTACGCACAACCACCACACTCGCTGTGCATGCAAGTGGGGGAAATTCAGACTCCGACGAGTATCGGCGTGTGTTTCCGGATCCTCATTGATACAACATCGCTAGGCTCCCACCTGCGCTAGACAACTCAGTTCCAACTTGACCTTCGCTCTTACCATGAGGAGAGGAACGACAGGAATTAAAGTTCCACTTCAAACCAGTCGGATGAGCCCAGCGCGTTGGATGACGAATGAGTTCGCGGAGACCTGATTTCTTCTGCAATTCACGAGCAGGAAGCCAATTGTTCTCGCTGACTTGATCATAGCCTGTCCACTTAACAAGGTACTGAATACCTCGACCGCGACGACGTTTGCTGAGGATGCTCTCGATCTCGTATTCCAAGCCGTCTCTGGTGGCCAGAGGTTCGGGTGGTCGCTGGGGATCTTGATAGGCAGGGTCGCGCTCTGTATGCGGACGAAGCCACTTGATGTTGATGACGGTGTTTCTGATCGATGCGAAGCGAGGAGAGAGGTCGAGACGAACGGTGTTGTCTGAAACAAATTCCAGGATGCGGAAGGGACCAACGAAGCGAGGGGGATGTTGAGGTTGGTGGTTGAGAGCCAAGCCAGATCTCCAACTTGATAGCGGCAGGGACGACGGACTTGGGCAAGGCGAGCTTCGGTGGCACGCGCTGCAGCTTCGAGAGCAGCTCGCTTCGGCGCTGACCTCGGTTGCTTCGCGAATGTCGGAGTCGAGGGTCTCGTGCTGATGATCGTCAGGTGAAGGCAGAGAAAGTTGCGTCCTGATATGTTTGCCGAACATGACTTCGAAAGGGCTGAAACCGATGGGACGGCGGACAGCTGAGTTAAGGTGAGTCTCCAGATACTGCGTGGTGTAGATACGTAGAGCTTCGAGGACGACGGAGTTCATACGCTCGGGTCGACCATTGCTTTGAGGCATAGAAGGCGACGAATGCTTCACGTGAACGTTTAGCATCTTGAAGAGCGCGTTCCAGAATCAGGCTGGACGAAAAGATGGCAGCGCTGTCGCTGATAAGGACTTGACGGTTTTGCATGATGAATTTTTGAGCAGCCTTGTTTGGAGGTGATCGATTTCTTGCAGGGGGTGAGTGTAAACTCACCCTGTGAACTCGTCAATGAAGAGAAGATTGGCATCGTTCTTGTCTCGAGTTCGTGGGAGCCAGTCAGCTTGAAGTCGAGACTGACGACTTCGAAGCGTGTCGAGGGAACGGCATGGGAATGAGGTTTGCCCATGGGTCGTTGACGGTAAGATTTCCCTTGAAGACAATGCTGGCATGTGACAGGATGTAGAGCTCGGTGTCTTTCCGAAGCTGGGGCCAATCGAGGTGGGACTGAAGGTCATGGGCGCGGAAGAGAACTTCTCGACGCAAGGCTTGCGGAATACACAGGCGAATGCGGCGCAACGAATCTGTGTAAAACAAGAAGTTACAAAAGACTTGGCGCAGAGACGTTGGATAATAGGGGTCCAACAAAGGCTGCAAGGCGCTGACGGTGAAGGCGAGCAAGAAGCCGTCCTCTGGGCGAGAGAGTTGCTCGTGATGAGGAGCGACTGCAGTCGAGAAAGGCTGTCGAACGCGCTTTGACATGCTGCCGTCCACAGAAACTGAGCGCCCTTGCGGAGAAGGTCAGTCAGGCCGGGGCGTTTGGTAGTCGTTTGTAGCGGCAACGCGGAGATAGCCGCCGTCTTGGAATGTTGCGTCGTCACCGTCCGTCGGCGGAGACGCGGTGGCCTAACTAAACTAAGAAGTCAACACTGGTACGGAAGAATTGAGCTTTCTCTTTCTTGAGAAAAATCTGATGTTCGCGACAGCGTGTCAGCACGGCTCGAACATGATCGGCGTGGGCTTCCCAGGTCGAATACGTAGCGATTACTATGTCATCAATATGAGCGAACGTATTGGGCAGATCATGAAGGACTTGCTGGCCTTGACGGACGATGTCGGCGATCTTTTCCAACCGTGATCTCGTCGACTGTAGGAGTTGCGGCGGTCTGCTGATTGAAGACGACTTGGTTCAAGCGGCGAAGGTCGCAGCAAAAACGGTAGCTTTTGGGATCAGTTGGGGAGCGTGGATCGTTGGGACGTCGACTGAAAAGCACAGGAAAGACAAACTCACTGTTGGACGGTTCGATGATATCGTGCTCGAGCATGTAGGAGAACCTTTGTAGATCGGAATGCGACTAGAATTGAAATTTTTGGAGTTCATCAGCACATTCACGAGAGTCCGATTGGAGAGGACTGGTTCCTGATCAGAGGATTCAGCACTAGCTGATTCCTCAGCTGAATAGATATCAGCATTCGCATCTTGCAGGGTGATTTTGTAAAAATACAAAGATCAAGTTGTGGTATGTACCCTTTGACACTACCGAAGGATTTCCGGTTCAGCAAGCAGATTTTCAGAATATTGTTAGTGGAAATACCTTTGGATCCTATTCAGACAAAGAGATGGAAGGGAGTTAAGTATCTAGGTATGTATCAGCTTAGGGCAACGGATCAGGATAAGACTCTATTGATTGAGAAATGGTTACCAATTTATCGCAAGATTGGATTCAAGGAAGATGGATCTCAAATGATTGTCAGTGGCTTGCCCCCGTATGAAAGGGTTATCGATGGTCATGTAGATAAGGTATGAGCGATGGTCATGTAGATGGTGATGTAGTGCGCAGGAACACGTCTCTCGAAGCTCGCTTCCTCCAGCTCGAACGGCAGGTATCAATCCTACTGGGCGACTACGAGCAGCATATGCTCAACTTGCAGAACGGGTGAGTGAAGCTCGAGCGTTGTTGTCCAGCCTGACGAGTGTTGGCACCTCTCAGCTTCAAAGCGACAAACGAGCCGGTGCTTGCTCAACACCCACATGGCCTCTTCTTGTGCTGATCATGGCTAAGGTCTACGGCCCTGTGTTCGCCAGGCGTGAAGGACGTCGCTGCCTCTTCAACGGGCTAGTCACAGGAAGTTCACCAAGAGGAGACCATGAGGGAGCTTTGATGCTCACACTGCCCGACAGCTTGTGAGCACAAGACATCTCGATCGAGACGCTCTTGACAAGCCATGCCTCAGGTGGCCTCCCTACCGCTTGATTTTCAACGGAAGCTATTGCACGGCAGAGGTCGTTACACACATTCCTCCTCCTAGCACACCCCTCGTTCCTTTCTCTGTAGATCATTGTTGTTCTGGAAGCCATCTCCTCCTCTCTGTGCTCACTCTCATTCAGGGTCACTTCTGTCAGTACTCGATCCACGTCTGCCGGAACGGACAGGTCGGGGCTGGCCGGCAGAGGATGTTTGATCTCACTGCCGCTGCAGGTCAGGGCCCTCACATACGGAAAGATCATGTCGATGAACCTCAACGCCATCGACTTCTGGATAGATTAATATGAACTAAATGCTGTAAGAATTGTTGATCCTGCTCTCTTCACGCCAATTTCCCTGGGCACTGTCAACAAAGCGCTGTAAAGCAGATTCTCTTTTTATAATACTCCAGGTCTTGAACCCACCCAAGTGGCAATTTACATCATTCATGGGGAGCTTACATGCCTTCACAAGAATCCTTTGGTGTGGAAGTGCGCTTTCTCGTGTGCTCTCGGGGTTGTAGACAGGCTGCCGACGGCATTGACGACACAGTTGTCAGTACATCCGTCAAGTCTCCTGTCTACAGCTTCCCGCGCCTGCTCGAGTTGATCAGACTTCTCAGCCAAGAAAGAGCTGGCAGGCGAGGAGGGAGCAGCTGACTGTGTCGATTGATCGACAACCATGGCAGTGGATGAAAGACAGGATGCCATGATACGCAATGACGAGAAGCGCTACGACAAGCAAAGGCACCATAGGGGGTGAAGGTCGGGGGGGGAGGGGGGGAGGTATGGAGGGGAGGTCATTCAGCAAGAGTAGGATCGTGATGAGGACAAATGGGAAAGGAGGGCAAAGATGCATGAATGAGACGAGTGACACACTTGGAAGACTAAGGCTATCACGAATGAACTTCGTAGACTAAGACTATCACGAATGAACTTGGAAGACTAGGACTATCACGTCAATAATATGAAAGGGATAAACGTCATTCTACATCGATGAGTTGATGCACAAGACGACAAGGTGGAAGACAAGACAATGGGAGGAAAGTGTGTGAAACATTAGGGAGATGAATTTCAATCGAAAAATAGAAGGATACGAGAGAGTGATAAGTAAGGACGAGAAATGCAAGCGACGAGGAGGGGATGATCGTGTTGTGAGGAAAGAGGATCATGGAAAGGAGGGGAAGAGGGCACGAAGGAGTGACGATCATGTAGATATGGAGCGATGGTCATGTAGATATGGAGCGATGGTCATGTAGATATGGAGCGATGGTCATGTAGATATGGAGCGATGGTCATGTAGATATGGAGCGATGGTCATGTAGATATGGAGCGATGGTCATGTAGATATGGAGCGATGGTCATGTAGATATGGAGCGATGGTCATGTAGATATGGAGCGATGGTCATGTAGATATGGAGCGATGGTCATGTAGATATGGAGCGATGGTCATGTAGATATGGAGCGATGCTAAAAGCCACGATTGGAAGCACCCCTCCGTATGTCTAGCTCGGAAGGGGTAGGGTTATAGGAGTCGTAGGAAGGTGCTAGGGAGTATGGTGGTGGCATATCAATCGGTACCATCCTATTGGTCAGAGTGGGGATGTGGACTTTACGAAATGAGGCCGTCGGGGAATGATTGAAGCACGAAGTGCAGGGCGAAGGAGAGAGGGAGGGTGAAGGGAGGGAGGAAAGGAGGTGAAGTGATGCGAATAAGACGGTTGTTGTTCCAGTTTCTTGTCTGTACATTAGGAAGTCTTCGCATCTCCAGCAATTTATACTCCATTGAGTTCCTTCTTGACAGGTCCTTGTTGAATGAAATCAGCAAGAAATGAAAAAATCCGATGAAGAGAGGACGAAGGAAAGGTTTCATGAGATTCTTTCCAAGGTGGGATGGTGAACAATGTTTAAGACTCCCTGACTTGTGTGCATTTGCAGTATCCTTTGGAGGTATATGCTGATCTTGACAGTGGGATGCGAGGACGAGGGTTGTTCGCAAACAGATCGTTCAAGGCAGGTGAGACCTTGTCAATGCCTTCTTCTCGATGTCTCTGCCTCCTCAAACTTTGAACATCTGTCGTCAGGGGATGTAACAGTTGCTGTTCCTCTGGAGTTCTGCATCTTCCACGAGATCGATCTTGAGGATGTGAAGTACGAGGACGGGCAGGTGGTGATAGATGCAGCAGGCATGTTCTCTTCTCTCTTGAATCTCTCTGACAGCACGTGTGGCAGGAAACATAAGCGACCTCGACAAGAAGCGAATTGCCTGGACCTCTGAGATCGCTTTGACTGGCAAACTGATGGAGGTGCTTGAGAAAGCCGCTTTCGATGGCACGGGTGATCTCTGCTTAAACTCTCCTCTCCTTCTCTTTCCTCATTTCTCACTACCTTCTCCTCTCCTCTCCTTCTCTCTCCTCTCACTACCTCCTCTCTTCAGCTCCCTCTCTATCCTTCCAATATCTCATTTCTCCCAGACTTCTTCCTCCTTTCCATCCTTCACATTTCCACCACTGCCACTAGCACGTCTCCTTCCTCCTCTCCTTTCCTCTCCTTTCCTCTCCCTTCTTCTCCCTTCCTCTCTCCTCCTCTTCTTTCTACATGCTTCATGACTTCTGTCAAGGTTTCTGGTCGGAGTATTGGTGGCTCTTCCCAACCACCGACAGCAAGGAGATCCCTTCCAACCTCACCCGCGCCATGCTCGAGGAGTTCGCAACCGTCGACCCGCATGTCTCTCTCCTCCTCCTTGACCATCGCGCGAAGCTGCGAGCTGCGTGGGAGAAGCTCAAGGGGACGGGAGGGGTCCCTCCTGTGCTGTTCTGGGCCAACAGCATGGTCAGCATTCTTCACCTAGCCGCCCCCTCCCTCTCTGTCGTTACCTTCCTTCCTCCTCGACACTCTTGCCCGCCCATCTCTCATTCCTCATCAGGTATTGTCAAGATGCTTCCACTTCTGGGATCAGCAGGTGAATGCTGCTGCTGCTGCTGCTGCTACCTCTGTGCCTGATCCAGTGACAAGGTTGATGGGAAGAAGAGGTCGCGAGGAGGGCTTGTTCCCTTCATCGACCTGCTCAATCACGATCGCGAGCCGAACTGTCGCCTCATCCAGCATGGCGATCGGATCTGTGCAGAAGCGTGCAGAGACATCGAGGCCGGAGAAGAGTTGACCCATCCTTATGCTCGCAATGTGAGATTCCTGCCCCCTTTCTTCAGCTGACACCCTGCCCCTCTCCCCCTCCTGCGCGCTCTTCCCACTCACCTTTCTACCCCCCTCTCCCCCCGCCCCCCCGTGCTCCCCCTGCTTCTCTTCCTCGTCTTGTCTGGCATGTCGTACTTGCAAATTACCTTCAACTCCCTTCTTACATCCTCTCTCCCTCTCCCTCTTCGTCTCCCTCTTCGTCTCCCTCTCTCCCCATCGTTCTCCTCCTGCAGGTTCCCAACCTTGCCATCTTCACGAGGTTTGGGTTTGTGGAGCAGAACAATGAAGAGGACCGAGTGAGCCTGCCGCCTTCCATCCCCGCCATCCCCAGGAAGCTCGTCTTGGAGATATTGGAGCAGGAGGATAGCAGTAAGGTATGAAGAGGAGAGGGACAGAAATGGGGGAGGAAGAGGAAGAAAGGAGAAAGAAGGTCAGGGAGTGACACATGTAATGGATGCATGAGGAGGAGGAAGACGAGGAGGAGGGATGAGCTGGAGATTTAACAGGTTTGCAATCCAAACCACTGAGCTGTTTCTAGTACACGGAAAGAGCGCTTTTATCGCTAGAAAGAGACGAAAGGTCTCAGGGAGGAGATGAAGGAGGGGGAGGAGAACAGGGGATAGGGATTTCTGTGGTCGAGGACGCCTCAGAGATTGAAGATGTTCTTCTCGTCCTCTCGTTGGAACTTCAGCGCCAACTCAAACGATTTGATAACATCAATGAGGTAGAATTACTTCTTGGTCCTGCTCCTGCTCCTGCTCCTGCTCCTGCTCCTGCTACTGCTACTGCCTCTGCTTCTGCTCTTGCTCCTCCCTGCCTCCCTGCCTCCCTGCCTCCCTGCCTCCCTGCCTCCCTGCCTCCCTGCCTCCCTGCCTGCCTCCCTGCCACCCACCCACCCACCCTCCCTCCCTCCCTCCCTCCCTCCGTCCTCTTTCTCTTCCTCATCTCGCTTCTCCTTCTCATCGTCTTCTGCTCTCTGCTCTTTACTTGGTCCCTTTCGTTCTTGTCTCTCTCTCCCCTCCCCTGGTTTTCGTCGTCGACGTTTCCTCTTGACTTGCCATGGTGTGCAGAACTGCGAATCTTGTATCGGGTTCAAACCCTTCGTGGAGGAGAGAAGAAAAGTCGTTCTTGAGCTCTTGACAATGTTAGCAACATTCCCTCCTCTTTTGTCTCCTTTTCCTTCTTCTTAGCTCCTCCTTTCCTCTCTTCCTCCTCTTGAATGCCTCTCCTGCTCCTGCCTTCCTTCTTCCACCTGTCTCTCACCGCCTTTCTCATCCCTCATTGTCTTCTGTCTTGCTTCCCTCTCGTCGTTCAACCCTATCCTCTACACTGCCCTCCTTCCTTCCTCTTCTTCTCTCCGCTCAATGTTTCATCCTCTGCATCCTCCCCGCTATCCACCTCGTCTCCTCCCTCCATCTTCATCTCACATGCTGTATTGCTTACATCTAACAGCTGCCGAGACCTCGCTGAGAAGCTCGACGTCACATTGCCAGGAGAGGAGGGTAGAACCTCTCGTTGCCCTCGTCCTCGTTCCCTGCCCACTTCCTGCTCACCCTACCGCCTTCCTCTCACTTCCTCTCCAACCCTCTCTGACCTCCTGCTCTCTTCCTCTTGATCTCGAAGATCTTCCTGACTCCATGGCAGAGGCAGAGGCTGTTGACACAATGATCGCCGACCCTTCTGCTTCCAATTTCCTCGACAACTTCTTTGGACGCGATACTTCGGAACAGCCGGATATCTACTCGCTCCTGGTTCCCTTCTCTTTGCTCTCCTCCTCTCCTCCTCTCCTCCTCTCCTCCTCTCCTCCTCTCCTCCTCTCCTCCTCTCCTCTCCTTCTGCCTTGCAACTTTTCCCTCGGAGCTTTCACTGTCCTTCTCTGTCTTCCGGTTCCTTCAGACGTGACACTCTCTACTAGGCACCGAGGACAGAAGAAGAGCTGGCCGAGTACAACAGTGACGACGAAGGAGGAGGAGCACCTGAGGTTTCCAGCGAAGGGCAGGCCTCCGTACTCTCCTTCCATCTCGAACAGCAAGGCCGCTAGAAGTTGCTTTCCGTCATATTGTCAAGTCAAAGATGGCAATGAATGCTCAGTAGGACAGTGGGGACAGGAGGCGGACGGGCGAGGAGAGGAGTACACATGCTATACCAATGATTGATATTCCGAGAATTTCAATAATAAAGAATTAGAAACAATATAAACAATACAACAGTCTACAGTTCACACAACACTACATTTCCTCCTTCCCCCCTGACCATCTTGCAGCTGCTCTTACACAAACCGCTGCTGGTTCTGAGCGGACTCAAGGGTATCTCCTGCTATCGTTGAACCGCCTAAGGATGTCCCTGTACTCCGTCATAGCTTTCATGGGGATAATCTGATTCAAAGGCAGCCTAGAGTGCTCTGAGTTGTTGATCGAATCATCTGCATCCCCCTTCCCCTTCCCCTTCCCCGTGCTCTTCATCTTCTCTTCTCCTGATCCACTTGCAACGTTGAACGACAAGGAGAGAAAGGAAGGAGATCTCATGGATGAAGAGACGTCGCCAAGCATCGACAGCGGCGATGCGGGGCAATCCAAGAAGGCTTCCTGAGGCCATGACGAAGGCGATGCAAGGGGTGAGCTTGACAGAGAGGAGGAGGAAGCTGAACAAGTCGGTGAGGAGGAGGGAGAGGGCGATGTTGACAGCATGCGCGGGCTGTTGCATTTCTTTGCGGCCATAGCAGTGAGGCAAATCTTTGAGACCCCAGGTCAAATCCCACAAGGGTCTAACGGGTGGTCAAATAGAAGCCGTTATCTTTGACCGATGCAGTTTGACCCGAACGGTCAAACTGTATCGATTTGAAAACGCAGCGTTCTACTCGTATGACCAGTACGCTCCGCACCCCCGGATCACGTACCTCTCAAGACCACCCCCAGATTACGTACTGGCTTTACCTTGAGACTACCCCCCCCCCCTACCATCCCTTGCTGTCCCTTCATTCTGAGCAGGGTTTTGGCAGGGGGTGCAGGGATTGCCCCACCCCCACCCCCTCCATCACAACCACCACCTACCACGTTGCTCCAATATGATCCAACTCACACACTCGAACTCACCCACCCATGATAAACCCAAGTTCTACCCACCACTACAAGCGAAGTTGTTCCAACATAATCAAACTTGTGACGGGGGTGACTACCCATACCCATACATGGAAGAGCTATGACCGGTGCCAATTAAACGCACTGTTGCTACCACCCTACCTGACGCTTGCGCCCCCACCCCACGAGATGCTTTCGAGGCTCTACCCCAAAATTTGACCATCGAGGGACCCCTACCTTCCACAACAGCCCACAGCAAGACCTGCCAGGCGCCATCCCCCATCCCTCCCGCCATTAATCCTCCCTCATCGCACAAGTTTCCAAGTGCGTCTCCAACCGAACCCTCCTCCTCTCCTCCTCGCCTCCTCTCCTTCTCCTCTCCTCCTCTCCTCCTCTCCTCCTCTCCTCCTCTCCTCCTCCTCTCTCGCCTTTCATACTCTCATCTATCTTCCACTCCTCTTCTGCTCTTTACAGTATAGGATCCTTTGCTCCAAAGAGAATCACTGTACAATCGAAGTTCGATATATCTGTCCAAAAGCCGTCCACTGATCTGAATGATCTAAATTGATCGATTGGAGATCAAGAACATGTTGTATCCTCGTATATCTTCGTTGTCAATCGCAAGAAGACATGGAAATACAAGGGTTCAGAACAGCATTGCAACGTATACGTCAATATCAGGGCCCGTCTGTGTCAGGAGACCGCTTCCAATCAAGGCGTGGCCAGCAACGACTTCCAAGACATTCCTACCCACAGTTGCATCAAAGGATCTCTCTTCTACTTCGGCGACAGAAATGGCAAATGCCTGTACTGTCTCAGAAACTGTTCAAACCCCAGAGTCTAGCATTACCCCAGAGAGAGCGTCTCAGGCTCTCTTTACCACTGCTACTGCGGGAATGATGTCGGCTATTGTCGTTTGCAACTTCCCAGGCAGTGAAGAAGTAGCTCTCAACTCTGAGACTTTGATCATGATGGTTCGCAATGTTCCTCTAGCCATATCATGCAGTGCCCTTGGAGACTTAGTTGCCCAGAAGCTCTCCGGAGTAACCAAGATAGACTGGAAGAGGACTGTGAATGCTGGAGCCATTGGGACTGTCCTTGCTGGCTTCGGCACAACAGTTTGGCTCTCCAACCTCAACATGCTTTTCCCCCGTGAGATGGTAGGATTTGACAGCCTGGGAAAATTTAATGCGCTCCTTGTCAAAGTGGTTTTCGACTCTGCAACATGGGGGACCTTCATGAACTCTGCCAACATTGTGCTTCGTAGACTTGCAGGCGGCGATTCCTTGTCGGAAGCTTACAGTAGTTGGAAGAATACCATCATGGCAGTGACTAAGTCAGAGTTCAAGTTCTGGCCTGCATGGGGAGCAATGGTGTACACAGCCATCCCAGTGGAAGAGCAAGTCAACGCCTTCGCTGTGGGAGGATTGATTTGGAATGTTTACCTCAGCTGGATGTCCAACTCAAAAGCTGCGCAGGCTACGGGCTCGAGGAAGGCGAAATATGGCAAGCCCGTTGGCCTCAGCTTTCCAAGCAAGTGCACATTTGAGCTGAAGCCTCTGATGGGTGCACGAAGTACTTTGCAACACTTCATGGCATGCGATAGTGTGCTTCGAAGCCTCAATGGAGGGAATGATAGGTTGAAATCCAACGCTCTTCGGCCCAAGCATTCTCATCAGGCGAGGATCTCTTCCCATGTTGGAGCGAAAACAACCCGACAACAAAAGTTCTCGTGGAGGAAACTTCATTTCGGGGAAGTTTTCTGAATTTTAATTATTCTTTAGCTCGCATGCAGCGCGCATGAGCTTGTTATTGATAGTTAGTTGATTTCATTGTTCTTTGTATTCTTTGTTTGGAATATACTTGATTACCAGGAAGAACACCCAATTGCATGAGCACTTGCATGTCTTCTTGAGATGATTCTACAAAGGATGCATACTTCAGGGATGAGATTGCTGAAGCACTAGTGCATACAATATTCTAGACAGAACTCAGTCGAAATCACATCGCTAATGATCTGAGTTGATATCTTACAGCAGTATCTTACTACAAAGCCATACGTATGATGGTTTTGACTATGTGTTGCTGACTGCTATAGAACTTCACGCCCGCTGACATACTTGACGTTTCAGCTTGATTTGCAGAGTACATAACATAACCTTGCAACGATCTCAACAGAATCCAGGCAGAACCAAACACTGGCGTAATCAATTACTTTCAAGTGTCATTCTGAAACGTCAGAGATTTTCAAATTAGATCAGGATCCACCGAGTAATGTCGAAATCAGAAAAGAACAACGTTCATTCATAATACAAGATGAAAGTACAGGGCTGCTATGATACACATCTACTGCCTACTTTGATTGAACTTGCGAAGGACCGATTTGTACTCCTCCGCCGACTTCAAAGGTATAATCTGTTTGAGAGGAGTGGCAGGGTCTTGTTTCGACTGCACACGAGCTTCCTTGATGGATGGCTGGGAAAAGCTAGAAGAATGATACGTCTGGAAGTTCTTGCCCTGTTGAGCAACTCTAGTTTTGTCCAAGCCAAATCCACGTGACCCGGATTCTTCCAGTGCAATGGAAGACATTCTTCTCATGGCACGAAAGAGATTGGCCTGATACACGGCAAGTTGAATACGCTGCATGGTCGATTCTAGTTGAAGGAAATGCGCAAGAACAAGTTCAGATTCCGATGACAAGCTCCAGCACCACGAAGAGTTGCGGAAGCAGAAGAGAGCGTTGAAGTAAGGAGGTTGAGGCTCGAGAGCAAGTGCAGGAATCAGCAGGACGAAACTATGACGCTTGTGTGCTGCTAGCAAGGGCTGTCGTGCGATCCGCCGGTATTGTGAACATGAAGGCACATGCTTACTGTTTTATACCCCCTTTATTCCGTGTAAACCCCTTAGATTTGACCGCTGGTTGACCACTTCGACCCCTCTTTCACTCTTTGACCTCGGTTTGACTCTAATTTGACCTCGGTTTACATCGATTTGACCCCGGCGTGACCTATCCCCTTGCATTTGACCACGGTCAAAGTTGGTCAAAATGAGGCCGCCGGGGGGCAGAGACAGGTGTAGCCCATGGGGTGCTAATGTGAGAGTCTTATTTGCCGTTTACTCAACTCCTTGCCGTCACCCGTGACTCTCAGAGTCTCAGTGCCGCCGCGCCAGTGCCCTGATCGGATCCGCCGCGGCCCGGAAACAGGCTGCCCGGCGGGCCTTCCGAAACCGTGACTTGAAGCCAAGGCCGCTCGGCGGCTTCCGATCCGACATTCAAGA